TGAGATTAAGAAAATGTCAAAACTCAACTTCCTGGAAATTGTGTGCTAAGCCTAAAAAATGTGTGCTAAGCCTAAAAATGAGTGCTAAGCCTAAAATTACGTAATAAGCCTAAATATGTGTGCTAAGCCTAAAAACGTGTGTTAAGCCTGAAAAATGTGTGCAAAGCCTAAAAAATGGGTGCTATACCTAAACTTGCGTAATAAGCCTAAAAATGTGCGCTAAACCTAAACATGCGTAATAAGCCTAAAATATGCGTGCTAAGCCTAAACTTGCGTAATACGCGTACAAAATAAGTGCTAAGCCTAAAAAATATGTGCTAAGCCCAAAAATGTGTGCTAAGCCCAAAAAATAAGTGCTAAGCATAAACTTGCGTAATAAGCCTAAAAAATGTGTGTTAAGCCTAAAAAAGCGAGTTAAACCTAAAATATTATATGTGCTGAAGTAAAATTAGGTGCTAAACCAAAATATTTAGCTAAATTTTCTCTATTTACATTAAATTTTAGATTCACAAAATAAAATTTCTAAATTTAAACCCCATCATCCTATCAAATCCAACCCACACTCGTATGTGTCGGAATTTTAAAACAGTTTGTTGTACAACTAATTAAAACATTTTGCCGGCTAACCACCCTAATTAATCCGTTTGTTTAACATTCAGATTAACAATGCACTCACGGCCATTAAAAGTTACTGCGGTAATTGTTATTATCTAATGTTGTAGGTAATAGTATGTACCGCAAAAGTTTACTCGTCTTCGTACTGTAAAATTAGCCCAAAGTTTATGTACTAAAAAGTTTAAAAATTAAATTTTTAATATTTTATACTTTAGACTTATGTTGAACATGTCATTTTGACTGTAATAAGTGTTTGTTTATGACAAACAGTACTATAAAGTACGAAATACGGCAAAGTTCAAAAGGTTCAAGCATCCAACTTTATTTTTAAACTTTCGTATGCAAGTTACAACAATCTACTTTAATTATCTTCTTGTTACTACAAAATATATATTCCCAGAGCAGTGCCACATACAAAAACTAAAAATAACACTACAGTTCTATGTCACATATCATTATACATACAATAACTTGCAAATTACCTAAAATAACCTGAACTTGCTCTCAGTTCAATTTTTTTATGAAGATATTATGTATATTAATCTTGCTCGCACTTCTAATTGTAACTTAATTGAGTATTTGCAACAATACAAAGACCAAAAATAACTTAAACCTACATTTATATAATTAAAAGCCCAAAATTGTACTTTTTTTGGCTTATTAAAATTTTAAATTCAGACTATTAGGTGCCGACATAAAGAACCCGCCATGTTTTACAGGAAATTACAGGAAAAGTATGGCAGATTCTTTATGTCGGCACCAAATACAAACTTTATTAAAATTGTATTCTATATACACCTTACAACAAATTTAAAAATAACAGAAACCGTGCCGAAGCCGGTTTTGTCCACCCCCACGTTGAAAAGCACTCGAAATCCCCTATCAAAGACTAATATTTTTAATATTAAGCCCCGCGGTTGCTACGGGACGCCAGGTATAGTGTGTAAATGAAGATTCCTCGTTGAATAAAAACGCCAATTTACTTTTGGCTTCGGATCCGGAAAATATATAAAAAATGGCCATAGTTAAAGCTGGTCGACAAAAAGCAAGCATTAGTTTTAATGCGCTGGAAAAGAAGGGGGGGGGTACCAATTTTTTCAAAAAATTTAACGTATTATTATTCAAAAAAATTTTTAAAAATACCCTGCCCAGTCTTACCCAAACTTTTTTAGCTTTCAAAATCATTTATTACCTAAATTTTCGCTTTCCAAAAATTGTCGATACCAAACCAAAGCAAGTCCAAACCAAAACCCTACCTTACAAACCCCACACCATAACCAATACTCGGATAAAACACATATCAATAAACCCCCTTCACGAACACACCGTTCGCAGACATAAACAACGACACACAATATTTATGCACTCCGCTGTTCTTGACACAATACGCCTCGAGGAAGCACAAATCCTTGCGAAATCCGTGGCCGTGAAAATCGCCAAATCCGTTTTTTCGTCGCAAAAATTGCGACGTACCAGGGAATTCCTGCACTTAATGCCAAAAACCATCAAAATTCCCCCATCCGACCGGTCTCTGGCTGTCTGCCGCCTCCGGCCACCCCGCCCGTCGCGTTCCTGTCGACAATTTTCTTTCGGGCCCGCTTTTTCAATGTCCAGGTAAAACGAAGGAAGGAAAGGGATATTCGAAAAAAAAATATTCGAAAAAATGTATATTCGAAAGGGGAACCGCTTTAAAAAAGTTGGCGGCCCATAATTACAGTCTTTTTCCAAAGCCCCGTTTTTTGGCCGCGAAAAGTGACCGTTAATGCGTCTGAGGCCATTCAATGGGTCTGGAATTTTTTTGCCCTTCCGCAATTATCGTTAAACATTCAATGCCATTCGAACTGTTTTATTGTTTCAAACTGTTGAAAAAGCTATAAAGATGTAAGGAAGAGACTAGTCCAACGCTAAGACTGATCCAGTAAACGTCAAACGCTAAGACTGATCTAGTAAATGGCTAGTACAAAGCTCAGTAGTATAAGAAAAGAATTAACTAGAGATACACCATCAACCCAAAAAAACAAAAAAATCAAGTGTTTAGCACCGTACTGTCCAATCCCGTCCCCAAATCTAGATGACGTTGAGAACGTTAACGACTGTTTAATCCGTCAAAAGCAAAAAAAAGTCATTTTACATTTAATATTGTATTTTTTTTTTCTAAGGATTAATTTTTTCCTGAGTATTTCAGTAAGAGATTTAAAGTGTAAAACCAAATTGTTACTTTCATTGCGCAATCGGAAATTGATTTTAAAAGTGCGAATGTTAATGATAAGCTGTCTGCGTCTAAAGAGTTTTGAGTGATCAAACAACCCACCATGCTTCGGCCGTTGAAATTACTGTAACTTTCTTAAACCTGACCAACTTTCTTAAACCTGATCAACCATGTTAAACATAACCATACATGTACTTATTAAGTGTACTATCATCTTATGAAAGCTAAACTATACTATCTTATCCTAAATCTCACAGACAATCACCTCACTCATGCTCACACTTCATACCAATCAATCACCACTATCAACTCCTGCCCCATCAAAATCACATAACAAGCTAACCAGGAAGAACGTTTTGCCGTCCATTTTCCTCTCATAACCATCAGCTCTTATTCCTTAGCCACTGACGTCACACCCCCCCCCCCTGGAAGATTGCTCAGAAAGACGAAAGAAAGGTGATTGAACCGAGGCGGAAACGCCGTGTCCTTTTGGCCCCGAATAGCCAGAAAAAGCCTTGGAGTGTCGAAAAGTCAAAAAAAATCCTTTCAAAAATTATTCCAACAAAAAATTATTTTCGGCCCCGAGATTTCGAACCTGAAAAGCGGCCCAAACAGAAAACAATAAAAGTATAGTCAAGGTGTCAACGGCTAAAAATAAACAGCACGGTCAACAGGTTGGTGAAAAAAAAGAAAAAGCTACGTCACAAGACGGATGATTTACGGTCCGGTAAAGCAAAATATATACGAATTTTGGCGGTTTGTTACTTTTTTTATTACAGTAGAAAAAAAAGCTACCTCAGCAAATTTTACCCTACTCTTACTTGCCCTACTATACTTTATCCTATAACAGAGTAAAAAAGGTAGCTTATGCAACAAAAAATCCATTATTTCTCACTGCTACAGTAACCAAAACCACATCGTTAAAAATTTAAGACCCCAATTAACCCATTAGCCGTTCCTTCAAAACACCACGTTGTCAGTCGGAATTCAAAAAAAAACAGCTTATGATGACAATAACCCCTGCTCAAGCCAATGAGCTGTTTAAAGACGTTTTGGAGCAAAGTGAATTAGAAAAACATTTATGCGGCCGCCAAAACAACCTTATCCCAGCCATCTGGTCGCAAAACTTTTTGGAGCACATGTGCCGAAGAATGAGAGTTAAATGGGTATGGGATTACACTCTCTTCAACCGAATAAAAATCACATTATTTATGCGACGTTTGAATTTGAAATTAACTTTTTCATGTCTCGCTCAGATCCGCCAAGGCTTGTGACGCTGAATTTTAAGACGTCTTCAGATATTAATGGGTAGAATACAAAAGATGCTCGAGGGTCTAGCGAGGTCATTCCACGAAATATTGCCACTGTCATAAGGGATTTTTCGGTGAATTTTATCAAAAAATCAACAGGGTGGGCCAAGTTGCATGTTTTTCTCAAAAAAACTTTCCAGCCATCCCCACCCCTTGTTATAATGTTTAAAAAACAACACACCTAACAAAAAATATCAAAAAAGAGTTACCATTCCCCACACAAAAACCGTACCAACCAGTTTCTCCTCCGACAAAAACACCCAAAAACTCTTCGATTTACTCGCAAAAAGACGGCCCAAAAGTAGGTATATCTTCAGCCAATTTCGCGTTCGTACATTCCGAGAACAGTGGGGTGAACAACTTTACGACAAAATGAGGTTTGGAACTCGAACCCTATCCCCTCTTCAACAAAAAAACATGCATTTACATGTACACTTTCTGCTTTCCCGAAGACTTTCTTCTTCTCTTCACTCAAAGACAATTCACATGGCCACCAATCCCCCGATGAATTACCTTACTCAATGTGTTTCAAATGATAATTGGGCTTGAGTCAATTTGTTTTCCCGAAACTTCCGCCGAATCTGACTATTTCAGGCTTCAAATTTAATATTTGATAAGTGGGTTTGGATCAAATTTGAATTGATAAAATTATAGTTCAAACTTGTGATATGTCTAAAATACATATTAAAAATAACAAAAGTCCAAGTCAATAAAGCAAGAAAAAGCATAAAATTAACAACTTTTTATAATTTTATTATATTACACTTGAGGAAAGTGCATTAAAACGAGTTTTCACTGACAAAATAAGATTCTGAACAAACGTAAAAGTATGTAGAGAGGGCAAAGTTAACATAAATGTGTCAAAACTACTTAATTTTCCGTTTTTGCCGCCAATTATTATCTTTGTTTTCAGTACCAATCTTTAGCCGGGGAAGGTCATTAAGATGTTTAAAATCTGATGATTCTGTAGAAACTTGTACACTAAAATAGATAAAACCGTATTCGCATAAAAATTATTAAAATTTACTTCAAGTTGTATAAAATTAATTTTAAAATTTTAAAAACTCATGTTTGGTGCACCTAAAGTAATATAGTGTATTGCTTTGCTACGTGATTAAAAAACCATAAAACTTTAAAATATTCCAAAACAGTAACATTATTCTAAATCATACCTTTCAGTTTCATCACCAATATTTTTCTTGCTCAAAACCACAGCAATTATTGGTTCAAACAAGTCTACATCCAACTTATTCTCGGCTTTTGTCTTGATCTCAGAAAACTTGTTCCATTGATAAACTGGCTTCTAAACTATACAAAAAATTATAAAAATACTTACTGTTTGTGTTTGTTTAACCTGTTCAACTAAGGCCACAGCTCGTTCAATCGCTTTGCTTGATCCATAAATCAAGAGATCCTTTCCTTCTACCTAAAATAATATAACCTATATCACAAAAATAAAGTTAAAACATCTTTTAAACCAATAATATTACTGTTTAATCTATTGTTCGTCTTTAAATCTTTATTTAAAAAAATAAGTCAAAGAAAATCAACAAAAACTTACATTAAAGAGATTCAAAGCCTTTTTCAACACATTCGGAAGCTTTACATTCTCTTTTATCTCCAAAATTTCGCACTTCTCAACAACATCACTTGGAAACAAGTCCATAACAACAAAATCAACAATAAAATACAACAATTTAACAGTAAAGGAAAGAGACAAAGATTAACTACATCAAAATTCAACACTTTCCAAATATTTTAGAAAAATATTTATTTTTGAGCCAAGTGTTTCCCTGAGATTGCGTCAAGTATTTTTCGTACAAAATTGTCGAGAAAATCGGCAACTTTTAGAATCTCATACCACTTTCAACTGATAAGATCAAGGCTTTAAGAAATGCGAAAAAGGTAAGTTTTATATTTTATTTTGTTTTTGAATAGGATTTCATTGTTTTTGTTGAGAAATCACATTTTTTTTTATTTCTTGCCTAAATCAAGTCAAGTTTGGACAGTTTTTGTATTTTTGAAGCAGAACTAGAAGATACAGTTTTGTGGAAACAGTATTTATTTTGTAAATTTGTTTCGATATTTAGCGGAATCAAGCGAAAACGTGAAGACGGTGATGGAGATACGGCTGGCACATTACCGGAAAGCGAACACAGTCGTAGCCGAGAAAGAGATGCGGAATCCTCATCTGCAAGAACTCATAACTTAGCGGACTTGGACGACGAAGATCAGCTAGTGAATGAAGAAGATGGTTCAGCCATTGCCAATCAAAAGCACTATATTATTATACCATCGTATGCTTCGTGGTTCGACTACAACGCTATTCACGACATTGAGAGGAGAGGAATACCGGACTTTTTCTGTGGAAATAACAAGTGCAGAACGCCTGAAGTGTAATTATTATTTGATATTTAAGGTTATTTATTATGAAAAGTATTCGGAAAAATTGTATTTTATCGTTTTTTAAACTAAGGAGCATAAAATGTTTAATTTTATATTTAATTTTATTATTTTAGGTATATGACTTACCGTAACTTCATGATAGACACTTATCGTCTCAATCCGTTCGAATACCTGTCATTTACTGCTTGTCGTCGCAACTTGTGCGGAGACATCTGTTCTATCGCTCGGACACATTCGTTTCTGGAGCAATGGGGATTGATCAACCACCAAGTCGATGGTGAGAACCGTCCAGCACCAATTGGACCACCAGCCACATCACATTTCATGGTACTTGCTGATGCTCCGAATGTTATTCAGCCTGTCAATCCGTTTCCACATGGATTTCAACTTGTGGACAGTGTGGTTAAAGCAGAGAATATTACCGACAAACCTGGAACTTCAGCTGAAGAAGAGAAGCGAACAGTTGAAGAGGTTGCGCCGAAACCTACATCCGTATTGGACACCCGCATGAATACAGATCAATATGCTAGTCAATTAGCGGCCACGAATTCGAAAGAATCTGCTTCAGATTGGAATAATGAAGAGATATTGTTGTTGTTGGAAGCTCTGGAAAAGTACACAGATGATTGGAATCGTGTATCAGATCACGTCGGTACAAGAACTCAAGATGAATGTATTCTCAAACTGCTTCAGCTACCAATCCAGGATTCTTTCCTAGAAAAAGAAGGAGAAGACGTTGTGGGGCCGTTGGCTTATCAGCCAGTTCCGTTCAGTCAAGGTGGCAATCCTGTTATGAGCGTAGTCGCTTACTTGGCTAGCGTGGTGGAGCCAAGAATTCTTTCGGCGGCTTGTGAGGCTGCTATGGGTAGGTTAATATATTTTTTATTTGTTTTTGAGATCTTAAAGTTTAAGTTTGAAATTTGTATTGAAAAATCCAAAGATTTTTAACTTAAAAATTTTAGAAGAATACACAAAGATGAAAGAGGAGATTCCTTCACTAGTTCTAGAAGCTCACGTCAAGAACGTTGAAGCACATGCTAAAGCAAACAATGGTGATGTTGATCCAGAAATTGGACTTAAAGAATCCGGAATTGCTTCTGATGATACGGTAAGGTGTTTTGTGCTACAGTGTCTGTTTCTCAGTTGGATATGAAACTAAAATAATTTTTTAGACAACCGAAGAACCCAATAACAACGATGAACCGATGGAAACTGAAGAAAAGAAGTCAGAAGAGGGTGAAGCAGTAACAGAAACGAGAAAAATGGCTTCAGAAGAGGTTCAGACCGCAGCAGCTTCTGCACTGGCCGCAGTTGCAGTGAAAGCGAAACATTTGATACACATGGAAGAAAGAAGAATGAAGAGTTTAGTCGCCCAACTGGTCGACACTCAAATGAAAAAGTTGGATCTCAAGTTGCTTCATTTTGATGAAGTATGGTTTTTATAATTTAAAAAATTTTAAGTTCACCTTAATTTAAGTTTACCAGATGGTTTATAATTGATTAAATTCTATTTCTTTACAGTTAGAAAGGATTACTGATAAAGAACGAGAAGCGTTTGCATATGAACAACAACAACTGATCTTGGAACGGCAATTCTTTCATCTAGACCAGATAAAATACCTGCAGCAACGCTCCAAAAAGGATGCTTATGAAGCTTTGATGGAGAAAGGAGAATTGGAACCAGGATTCGAGGTTAGAGGATGTCCACTACAAATGGAACCTCTAGTTGGATCATCACGGAAAACTGTATCAGGTAGAGTAGCTCTCCAACCGCAAGCAGAATTGGTTACTAAAGCAGAAGATGTTCCATCGTCAGAAGCGCCTTCGGTTATCCAAACGTCGCAACCTCAAGCAGCTCCTCCACAACCGACTCCACCACAACCACCCGCTACATCTGCTCCAGCGGAACCAGTCAACCAACCGCAGCCTCAAGTTACATCACAATCTGCAGTCGGTGCTTTATTATCACAGCCATCTCCCGTTCAGCCCTACGGCTACCAGCCACCATACAGCGGTGCAGCGCCACCCTCAGGGCAAACATACCCACAAGGATACCAACAAGCGCCTCCTGCTGGACATTACCCACCTCAACAGCCACCGCAACAACAACCTCAACAACCATATTACCCCCCACGCCCATGCGCTCTACAACAACAGTTTAACCAGAGGTTTGGACTAGGGTACGACTACAACTATCCCCAACCACGACCAGGTTATCCACCGGCTATACAACAAGGCCAATATCAATATCCGCCTGGGTATCAGGGTGGTCAGGTATGTATTTCAATTTACTTTTTTAAGTATCACTTTTAAAGCAAGAGATCTAGGTAACAAAAACATTTTACTTTTATGGCATTTATTTTCAGCACTATCCCCAACAGGGCGGCCAACCGCCTCGCCCACCAATCCTTCAATTAGCCCAACTACAGCAATCAGTAGGACAACATCCCCCCATGCCAATCCAACAACCCCAGCTACCAATCCAACAACCCCAGCTACAAGTCCAACAACCCCAGCCACCAGTCCAACAACCCCAGCCACCAGTCCTACAACCCCAGCTATCACTCCTACAACCCCAGCCACCACTTCAACAACCCCAGCCACCAGCTCAACAATCCGATGAGAGGCATGAGCAAACTCCGTCGCCACAACCATAACTAAAGAAAGTAACAGCGATCTCAAACTAACTACCTCTATTCATATATGATCTTATATCGCTCTTATATTTACTATTTCTATTAATTACAATAAATATTAAGTTTAATTTGGCGTGGTTTTGGTGTTACAATGAATCAGAAAGTGAATGTTGATATAAATTTGACATAATTTTAAATAAAGTCAGGTTTCCGGACTCCCCGGTGACCATTATCAAAAAATTCAAGTTTCGCTTAACACAGCGCCTTCGAAAAGACGTGGTCAAAGCATCCACGTACCTTGTAGTACTGGGTAAAAACCGAAGACGCCGTTCAGCTTTCGGCTCTTATCGGTTTCGATGGTTCATATTTGAGTAGGAAACGCGAGGTTTATGGAGGAGATTTGTGTCTTTGACACTCTTTTTTAGCTAACAGGTCTTCGGAGTCTCTTCTGTGAGTTTCTATTTGTATAACTCCTTCCTTTGCCTGTGTTATCTCGCGTTTAGAGGCCTTTCATAATGAAGATAGCGAGGAAAGGATCAACGATTTTTAGCTTCTTTTTGTCTTTGATAAAAGATGTTATATAGCTCAAAACAACAGAAAATTGCTAACTTTTTAACATCAGTATTACAAAAAATAAATACATCAATAAACACACGTACACGATACAAATAAGCATGTGTAAAATGTCATTCCAAGCACCCTAAAACAACATCTACTTAGATTTTTCTGAATCTTCTGTTTTCTGACCGCCGTGCGAATTCTCTTCAGGGGTATCGTTGTCGACTGGACTATCCTTCAGTGATTCTTCTTTGCCTGATTTGTCTTCTTGATACTTTGCTTCCTTTTGGGAACCTTCTTCTTTCTCCTTCTGAGGTTTTGTGGGTTCCTTGGATTGAGAAACATTGTTATAGGATTGTTCTTTTACTGACGTTGGTTTTTGTCGACCATCTGGAGCGGTTTTTGCGGTTTCTGGCAATTTCTTAATGTGGAATTAATGATTATAGAATAATAAGATAATGATTATAGAATAAGGCATCTTTTCAATGCCAAATATAAGTATTTTTAGATTTTATAAAAAACTTACATAACTATCTTGAGTCGATTCCTGAGCATCCCACATCAAAATGACAAAAATGATTTGTGTAATCAATGAGAATATTTCGGCCGCAATGTATGTGAAGCAAGATGTCTAAAAAGGTTATGGTAAACAACTTATACACCGTAAAAAATTAAAACTTATCTACTTTATAAAGTTATAAGCTTTTTAAATTCATGGAATTACTTACCAACAAAATGCGGTACAAATAAGGATAGATGGCGTCAGAACACCCATCGAAGTACCACATTTCTTTTGTACCCAAGGTACAATTGTCACCATAATGGGGCAATGGACAACAACTGGGAGCGTATTTTTGGTTAGAGTTTTCTGCCCACCATGGGTAAGGTGCTGAATCGTTCTGAAAAAGTAACAATTTTAGAAATAATACAATAACATAATTTTTGATGTGAAAAAAAAATTAATATTCTTTTCAAATGACATGGCTATTTTTTATAACATTTACAAAAAAAACCAAACCATGTGAATCTGAGGGCAAAAGTCGATATAGTAATCATCAGGCATATTCCATCCACAACATTGAAAGGTCTGTTGTACGTTCGATATATGTTTGTAAGACGTAATCATGATTTCAAGCAATGCGTCCGAGCTCTTACTACTTTCAGCATTACAAGCATCAGCCAAATCAGTAAAATATCCTTTCCAGCCCACGTCGTAATGACTTAGTTTCCGATCGGACGAAAAGCCCAAATACATTGCTGAAAACCGTTTTACTGTAAAGAAAGTTTTTGCAAATTTAAAAAAAGTAAAGCATGGCATTCTTCTGAATCTTCGCCCCAAAACAATAATAAATTTAGGCTAAACTATCAGTAAAAACTCGTTCAAACTCACAAAAACTGATCAAAGGCACAACAATAAGAAAATGAATCAAAGACGTTACTATGAGCCATCGTATAGCCACGTATGGCTGTAACATAGTAACTGCAAGAGTAAACACATCTACAGCTATGACGATAAATCCAAAAACCACAAATACATAGCAATAGGTTCGAAATGACATCAGATTCAAGACCACAAAGTCCATCAAATCGCCCAAGTAAATGAAGTCATAATGTACCGAGATTACTGTAATGTAAAATTTTAGAATTAGTCCATTACAAAAATTTTAACAACTACGTTTAAATTTAACACTTACCCACATATGTTATACATAACCGTATCATCAGTCCTAAACCTAGGAATTGAAGCTTTCGTGATAGCGGTTCCAAGCATTTCAACATAGTAAAAGTAAATTATTCGACCGGTCAGTAAGATTTTTAGTTTATAAACTTCAAACATTTTTAAAACTTTTTTTTCAAATAAATGAGACTTCGTCCAAATTTTACCGTAAAAAAATGTCTTCGTATAAAACGGTTCTTCAGCCTGCAAAGTGAAAAAACAAGTAAGGGCGCAGTTAAACATAATATAAACGCTAAAATTTCGTTATTTTTTAAAGTAAAGTTCACGTCGTTATAGGACAAGGTAAGATTATTATTTTTTAATAGTGGTGTTAAAAGAATTTAAATAATTGGATTTAAGTTTTCCAGCAAAATGGACGGAAGAAACACGGTGAATGCGACTCCAAAGGCCGCTCTTCCAATGATCTACATGTGTGGAGGTAAGGTTTTGTCTCCTTCCTCAATTAGCAGATTTCTAAAAACAAAATTTGTTGTTGAATAATATACTGAATTGTTTTTTATACAAACTTTATGTTTGAATATACAAAAATGTTCTGTTATCTTTTAACTTTTAGAATGCAACCAACCTAATGAAATTCGACCAAAAGATCAGATTCGCTGTCGAGAATGTGGACACAGAGTTTTATACAAGAAACGGAGCAGAAACTGTAGGTTTTACTGTGTTTTTGTTTTTAGATTTAGGTAATATTTCAATTTGTGGTTAAGCCGTTGACAGAATAATAGTTTCTGAAAGTCTAGGTCAATTTTTTTGGAGAATAATGTCTATAATTTTTGTATAATATGTTAAAAAGCCTGGTGTTTTAATTGAAAGTATATTGATTTTTTTAGTGTTGGTATACGATGCCCGTTGAGTCAGTTCAACCCAATTTGTATCTATCAGCATCTCACATGTTAATTTTTGTTACATTGTTATTGACTTTTTGACTCCTTGATAATAAATTTTTTACAAATATGCAAATTTTAGTGATTTTTGATAATTGTTTCTGATTCTGATGCTCATACGTTAGTTTGGTCGCATTACGAGCGGTTGTTCTTTTCTAAAAAGTTTTGTTTAACAGTGTTTATCGCTTTGGACAAATCGATTGAAGAAAAGGTAAGTTTTCTGCAATTTTTGGGGTTGTACGATGCTATTTTTAGAAATTACGGGATAATTTGCAGATATAACCAATTAGAAACATCAAGGAAGCGATGAGTGAGTTAGATTATACTCCTGAAGACTTGGAAAAGCTGAGCGTTCGTACTGCTGATTCATTTCATATGGAGGATAAGTTTAACTTAAACCGTGAGTTTTCGGATTTAGCATACTGTTTAGTTTATATATTGACGGCGTTTACCATTTTTTAAAAGGTTAATATGCCTACTTTAAAAACAGCATTTTTAATTTATAAAGTTACTTTTAGTGAGTCAACGCACCTTACATGGAGTAGAATCTTTGGAGGAAGATTTCAGTGGTGACTCAACGGAAATGGAAGAAGCTAAGCTGGATTGTCTAAAAACTGACAAAAGAGATCTTGAGGCAAGTTTATAAGCTAATTAATTGGATTTTAACTTTTACAAATGAGATTTTACTGTAGTTACGGTTATTTTTAGGCCGATATCTCTATTCCATCTTCTTACACTGCGAAAGAACTCAACACTCCTAGCTTCATCAGTGTTGGAGAGCTTAGAGGAGGCCTTCAACAATGTTCTCGTGGCGAAATGGGAATTAGAGGTAATTTTATACCCGTATATATTAAACTTATACTAAAAATTACCATAAAATAAATTATAAATTTTAGAAAAACGCCCATATCAATCGTTTTATCACCAACCTGATTTGAACCCACCGAATCAGTACGAGACCTTCGATCTGCAATCTCACGATGACATAGTCAAGGCTAGTCAGTATCAGGCCCCAGACATGAGAGACTACACCGTCTGTCACACTCATGCATACTGGCTCAAAGTCCAAAGTCTTCAGGGCAACAAAACCGAAGAGAAGGAATATCCACACGGCGATTCTGTCTACTGTATCAACTAACTATGACAACATTTCGTTTTAGTATTGGGATTCTATATATATTTTTAAAGAGACTTATTTGGTTTAGTTCCACACCTTGTTTGGGATTGGCTTTTTCAGTTTTACTTGGGCCAAAAACGTTTTGCCAGACTGTATTACAAGAAAGCAGAAAGTAAGTATTGATGAGTAACGGAAAGCGAACTTCTGTTGCGCTTCTGTCACTCATAAATGCATATAAAACGAATTGGAAAGTCATCTCTTTTGCGTCTTTGACATTTCCCTCAAAATTCAAATGATTAGGAATTCTGCGGCGTCGGTGGATCATAAAACTTATTGTTTTAGGAGAGGAACATGATCATTAAAGTCGCTTCTGCTACTTTTTTGGCTTTTGTTACAAGCTTTTGATGTTTTGCGGTGATTTTGTTTGTTTTGTCATGATTTATTAAGAATGAAAAGCTGGGGTTTTGTGTAGTTTTAGTCTTAGTAGGCTTAGGCTTAGTAAGTTTAGGCTTAGTAGGCTTAGGTTTGGTAGGATGTGGCCAAGGCTTAATGGGTTTTAGGATATATATAACTATTTCCATTTGATAAGACTAATAGAATTAAAGCAATATTTAAACGCGTAATCTATACAGAATGACGTACAAAAGTCTCATTATTTGTTCTGGAATCGTTTGTTTTGGCGAAATTTTATGCATAGTAATTAGAATTCGATGATACACAAGAAAAGAATGAGAAAACTGGGCTTGGCTACCTGCTTTCCTGTGAATTGAAATTTTAAAAAATTATTTAAGACTATTATACGACTTTTCAATAAAATTGAAGTATTGCAGGGCTAGAAATGTTAATTTTTACTTAACTTCACTATAAATTTTGAGAATGGTTACTTACTATTATGTTCCAAAAGTAGTAATAAGTATACTGTAACTTTTCGTTTGTATTTTGTTTTTTTTTATTGTTTTTTGTTTGTGACAACAAATTGAAAGTCAATTTTGTTCTCTGTTACCATTGACCCTTCTACATGAATGCTTTACATTACCTCCAAAAAAAGTAATCAAAGCCGGCTTTTTATACAAATTTCTCGCGCAAAAGTCAAAAAGTTCGGTCGCAAAAAAAATTATTGGATATACAATAGCCATCCGTTTGTTATTGTTTTTTCAAGTATGAGTATTTCAGAAGGGTAATATATCATGTATGATATTGTAGTTTGGTTATGATCTATTGGTTTTTGGTATAAAGATTGATTTGCCAAACTTATGGTTTATAAGTATGACATAGGGTGTAGAAGAACGGGTAGGGTAGAACTTTCTTATAGCCATACATTCTTTTACTCTGCCTAGCCTTACATTGGTCTTACTCTGGCTCTGTCTTAGCTCTATCTTACCCTGGTTCTACTCTAGCTTTGTATTAGCTCTACCTCAACCTTACTTTAGCCTTATCTTATCACTGCTCTGTTCCTGGGCTAGCCCTCTTTTAGAATTTTCTTTGCATTTCCTTAGCCCTACTCGCCGTCTATTCCCGGCTAATTACAGTATCGCAACACACTGAAACTGCTGTGTTGCATGTTTATTGCCCTTTCCAGAATGTCTGTCGTAAAATATAATGGGAATGCCCGTTTTGAGAGGTGAGGTTCAATCATGGCGCGTGCTCTTCAACTTTCTAAACAAACTGCTGCGCGAAAACAGTTGTAAGCTGTTTTGTTTAGGTATATAAGTGAAATTTAAATTGGTTATATATTTTTTAAAAATTTTTTTTGTAATAACGTTGATTTTTTTTATAAAATACTGTAAAATAGTGTAAAAACTAAAAAAAATTTGAAAAAAGTATGATAATAGGTTTAGTCAGATTTACGCATGAGATAGATTAACGGAGAAAACTCACGTAATTAGCGTATATAACTAATATTTTCTTATTAGTCAAGATTGAAATTTTTTCATAAGTCATTCTTTTTCAAGAAAATCGAGTTTTTCAGGATTTTCATTCTCTACATTATTATATAAGCCTTTGTTTGCTAAGATTTCTAATACCAACATTGAATTTTTTTTCACATTTAAAATAAAAAATTTTCAGTTTTAAAATTGAAAAAATTTTTTTTTCAAAAAAAGTACAAAATTTGTACTCAATATACCATTTTTTGATGTTTCAAATAACGGAGCTCTTTAAAAACCGCTTATTTGTCAGTTACGCGTCAAGAAGATATATCGAAAGTCGAATGACACTTATGAATCATGTTTTACAGCGGCGTTATGGGATTTCGAATATCCTCACATCCATGTTTTTTCTATTGTTTTTTTTGCGGATACTATTTGTAAATATTTTGTTTACTTTTTGTCATATGGAGCGATGCTGAATATAAAAAAATGATGTTTTAAATTGTTATACTTACGAGGAAAGTACCCTACCTGTTCCGCTCGGAACCAGCTCAAAATTTTTGTACGATTCTTGTGTACTACCAATAGTACCCACAAAAAATTTTAGCTAGCGCTTTTGAGTTTTAAATTTGAATTATTTTGATTTCCCGCCAATTTGGCAACTTTGGCATTGTGTTTCAAGGACTTTTTTTGACTTTCCAGTCAAGTTACACTTACAAATTTGAATATTTAGGTTCATTTGAAGGTATTCTACTAGTATAACATTGAAAAATTCCTAAAAGTCGAAAAATGACAAAGTTATAAGCTTGAAACACTATGCCAACTTGGCGGAAAATTCAAAAAGTGATTTTTTTATCACGATTTTCTCGAGATTAGCTGTTCATTCCAAATGGACATATACTAAAGTGCGACTTAGTAGTTTGCTTAAGATATTACATTTACATGGTATTTCTATATTAAAACTTTGAAGTCAATCAGATCGGACATTTTGATTAACCCTTTCCTTGTTAATCAAAATTATTTCAAAATTGAAGTTAACAACTCTGTTTAAAATTTTATTGTACTTTACATTGCTTTACAACAACTTTTTTTGAAGTTCTTATCAAAAATTGAAAAACCAACAAATTTTTTTAACTGTGAAGTTTACAATCTTTCCAAAACAATATTGTTTTAGGGGCTGTCATAAATTTCACTTATGATTTTTGTTGCTTATAAAAAATTTTAAACTTCAAGGACACACGGGACACAATATTTATACAAAAGCAAGATTCTTAATGCGTTTTTATGGATCATATGTTTTCATATTTTTGATATAAAAACATAAAATGGCATACTTTAGATTCTTAGTCGGATTTACGAGTGTTTCATAGTTAATATTGTTGCTGAAATTTAATTTTAAAAATTTTTATTCCACAAAGGTTTATGATTTTTAATATGGTTTTTTGAACCTAATCTTTCTAAGCCTATGATTATTAAGCCTAGCCTACTAAGTTTAAGCCTTCTAAGACTAAGCTTGCTAAGCCTAAGCCTACTAAACCTAAGCCTACTAAATCAAAGCCTACGAAGCCTGAGCCTACTAAGCCTAAGCCTAAGCCTACTAAGTCTAAGCTAAGCCTAAGCTAAGCCTAAGCTAAGCCTAAGCCTAAGCCTAAGCCCTAAGCCTAAATCTAAGCCTAAGCCTAAGCCTAAGCCTAAGCCTAAGCCTAAGCCTAAGCCTAAGCCTAAGCCTAAGCCTAAGCCTAAGCCTAAGCCTAAGCCTAAGCCTAAGTCTAAGCCTAAGCCTAAGCCTAAGCCTAAACCTAAGCCTAAGCCTACTAATCCTAAGCCTGCTAAGCTTAAGCCTACTAAGCCTAAGCCTGCTAAGCCTAAACCTACTAAGCCTAAGCCTGCTAAGCATAAACCTACTAAGCCAAAGCCTACTAAGCCTAAACCTACTAAGCCAAAACCTGCTAAGCCTATTAAACATAAGCTTACTAAGCATTAGCGTGCTAAACCAAAGCCTAATAGGGTTGAGCTTCTTAAGTCTTTTAAGCTTGTTGAGCCTAAACTAGCTATTGGTTCAATCTTTAAATCTTCTAAGAAACGTTGAAATTTACACTATTTCACGGTTTTTCCTGACTAAAATTGTAAAAAAGTGACATAAATGTCATTTGCTTATGTAAACTTCTCCGAAGCTTTTAACTTTCTTGATTACATTTTCGTTGCAATTGAATGTGTACGCGCCCTGAGGGAGTTGATATCAACTCAATTTCACTTGAACGTCTAATTTTCTATTTACGTTTGGTATGAAAAAAGTTACATTTTAAATTTTCAGTCGATATATATGGTAGAAAGTGTTTAATTCTTTAAAATAAAATTTTTTTGATGATAGTTTACGTTTTGTTATCTAAATTGCCTATTAAATTCACTTTAAAGGTCAATACAATTAATGTTTTCAAAATAAAAAGTAATATTGTAGTAGATGACATATGGCTAGGCACAATGATAGGATTTGTAAATATTTTGCTCACTGCCACTTTTGGGCCTGATCTCCTGTTGGCCCGCCGCTACACGGTTTCGGTGGAACGGGGTCGAGGCGTTTGCGAACTGCCCGTTGTTTCTGGAAATTGCTCAAAAGAATTCCCCAGGTATTACTATGATCATGCTAGCAAAAACTGCCATCGCTTTATATATACGTAAGTTGGGTTTTGAATATATGTTATACGTTGATTGTAATAAGTAGATTATTAAGTTTTTCATTGAAAAAATGTTGTTTTAGAGGCTGTGGAGGCAACGGAAATAGATTTGTGTCCGCCGAACATTGTCGCCAACGATGTTCGTCTGATTGGAAACCTAGTAAAACAAAGATTAAAGCACAGTTTAGAGGTAAGACAATTTAAAGGTATTTAAGACTAAAAAAATTTTTTTTATGTATTTGACTCGTATTTTACATTTAAAAAAATTTTTCTAATTGCAAAAAATTAAAGCCTTGTTTAGATCCCACAATAACCCCAACAAATCAAACAATTTGCTCAAGATGTCACGAAAGGAATGGAATTTGCCTGAATGGCCAATGTCAATGTAGACGAGGATTTGAAATGGTCAAGGATGTTTGTCAAGGTAAAACATTAAATTTTTATATTAAACCAAAAGTAGCGGGATACTTTTCAGCCGTAAAATAAATATGTAGGGTCCCGCTACTTTTGGTTCGACTTTATAGTAACTCTCTGTAGTTATAACTGTAGCTTTAGTTGTATATATTAGGTGGCGACATAAAGAACCCGCCATTTTTTACAAGAAATTACGGATAAAGTATGGCGGGTTCTTTATGTCGGCATCTAATAGATACTTTTTTTGATTTTTTTTGTATATGACAAATTTGATTTGACATTAAATTTTAAATTTTTAGATACAAACGAATGTTTATGGGTGAAATGTCCGCCATCTTCGGTTTGTGTCAATACTGATGGTTCATTTCACTGCGAATGTCCTATTGGATTTGCCGGTACTTCACTCAATTGCACTAAACATAAAGGTAAAATATTTTGGCTATTATTAGGTACTGGCATAAAGAACCCGCCATACTTTGCCTGTAATTTCCTGTAAAAACTGGCGGGTTCTTTACGTCGGCACCTAAAATTTTTTTACAACCAATTGTACTGAAACAAAGATCAACTGGTCTATTTCGACTTACATGACTTTTAAAGTTTATAAATAAAAATAATGATACAACATATTGTAGATGTATGTGGCCAAGCATTTGACCGCCGCTACGAAGATCGTTGTGGTTTTAAAACCGAAGCATGGGGATTGAGGTACTATTTTGATTACAAACAGAATGTTTGCAAGCAATTTTGGTACGGTGGCTGTGAATTCGCTGAAAGCGGAAACTTTTTTAAGGACATACAGGTAGGTTTATATATACATACATATATATATATTAACCTTGTTATGTTTTATAATAAAAAACGACTGGACCTGATCATTGGTGCTGTAAGTTTATATGATAACATTTAGACGTGTCAAACGCTTTGTGCAGACTACAATGTCATAGAAACGACGACCAGAGCGTACCGTGATACGACAACTGCCATGCCGCTACCAGGTATGTACGGTCAGAGTGTTATGTACAAACTGAACGATAACTTCTATGTAAAATACTACAAAAAATAGTAACAAATTCAAATTTAAATTTAAAAAATTATTATTCTAGAAGTCTGCCTTGATCAATTTGAAGAACGTCGCCGGAACCCGTGCAAAAACGGCGATTGGACTCAACGTTATTACTATGATCATCATAGTAAAAAATGTCAAATGTTTTGGTTTGATGCTTCATGCACTTATCAACGGTATGCTTCTAGAAACGTGTTTATTTTGAAATCAACGTGCCAACGAGCGTGCGAAGGCGTGAATCCAGACGACCCGGACAATTTGCGGGCTTTTGAGTACAAACTGGTTACTCCGTAAGTATTTTTCGTATGTTATATTACTTATGGATTATTATTAGATACAGGCTCAGTAGGCTTAGTTCTAGCCTGGGGCTTAAGCTTAGGCTTAGGCGTAGGCTTAGGCTTAGATTTTTGGCTTAGACTTAGGCTCAGGCTTAGGCTTAGGCTTAGGCTTAGGCTTAGGCTTAGACTAAGGCTAATGCTAAGGCTAAGGCTAAGGCTAAGGCTAAGGCTAAGGCTAAGGCTAAGGCTCAGGCTCAGGCTCAGGCTCAGGCTCAGGCTTTAGCTTAAGCGTAAGCTTAGATTTAGGCTTAGAAGTTAGAACTTTATCGAAAAAAAATTAATAAAGTAAGTATTTCCAACCAATATTAAAAAAGTTTTTAGAGCAACGGTGTCCTTCCAAGCCTATACACCACTACCACATAAATACAACTGGCCTATCCCGACTTACATGGCAGATCCAGACCGCAATCTACCAGATATATATCACAGATCCAAGTCAGTTGGAGTGATACAAGCCCACTTTTCCTTGATGACTACAGCCGTACCACCAACTTCTCATTATCAAGAAATACTTGATGGCAAAGATGACATTGAAATAGATGGATTTGAGAGTGGATTCGGGGATTTCGGCATGATGGAAAAGAAAATTGTGGCTACGGTAAGAATATTCCCTCTCTAAACTAGCCTTATATTTAAAGTTATTAGATACTATACTTTTCGAAAACTATATATTGGCTTGTAATATTTAATTTTCAGCCCTCACCATCATTGTCAATATCATCAGATTGTCTTCAACCGTTTGATACCAATTTAACACGGTCATGTTCAAGTGGTAATCAACCATGGCGGCCAAAGTATTACTACAACACTCAAAAACGACAATGTGTTATGTATTGGAACGACGGATGCATGAGTAAAGCTAAAAACAACTTTGAAGACTTGACAACGTGCCAATGGATGTGCGAGGGAGCTAGCTTAAAGCCTGAGGCTGGTAAGGAAGTTTGAAATTTAAAAATTTTAAATTTTTAAAAATTTTAAAAAATTTTAAAACTTGGGAAGTTTTATACAAAACCTAATGTTATGGTACATATTATAGATGTTAAATCAGCTATTAGCTAAACCACTTTTAGAGCACTGCTTGGACACATTTGACAAAGCGTATATGGACAATTGTGACAATTCTCATTATCGTATTAAGTACTATTTTAACCATCATAGTAAACAATGTGAACTGTTCTACTACGGTGGTTGTCGATCACAATCTCGAAACATATTCGACAGCTACAAGGATTGTCAAGATCTTTGTCATACTCCCACAAGGCTTACTGGAGGTGGGTTGGTATTACTTTTATATAAAAGCCTATACTTATATATTATATTTATATGTGTACTAATAAGCACTTGCTATTTTAAGTGTTAAATCCTCTATTGTTTAGGACTAACCTAACAGTACGTTATAATTCTTTCAGATGTCTGTGAACAGCCGTTTGACCCAGTATATCGTGATTCATGTACTCGAAACGGTTCATACGCTCAATACTACTTCTATGAACAATATTCTCAGAGTTGTAAGATGTTTTGGTATGGGAATTGTAAAGGAAAGAGTCAGAACATCTTTTCAAATTTGGAAACATGCAAATGGCTTTGTGAAAAGAAGACTGAACAAAAAGTTGCTGGTATGTTATGGGTATTAACATATGGGTATGGTAGAGTAAACTAAGGCGTGGTACGGTACGGTAGGTTGGGGTAACATAGGGTAGGGTGGGGTAGGGTAGGGTAGTGTGAGGACGGTACAGTACGGTACAATACGGTAGCGTAGAGTAGGGTTGACTAAGTTTGGTTTTTACAAGGGGTACTTTCTACTTTTTAGGTAACAATTTGTAAAATTTTAGCCAACTGTCTGGACAGATTCGATGACAGTTACAAAAAGGCATGTAACAATGGAGTGTGGACTAAAAGATGGTATTTTGACCACAAAACTGGCTCTTGTCATGAATTTTGGTATGATGGTTGCGTTGGAAAGTCACAAAACATTTTTGTTGATCAAGAAACTTGCACTAGTCTTTGTGAAGCTCCTGGTAAGCTTTTTTTTCTAAAATTAATGTTCATATAATACAAGAGGGGGGGGGTGCAGGTAGAATTTTGCACTTTTTTAAAAGTTTTCTTTACCAAAAGTTTTAGCCTTACCAACACAAGGAAATGAAATAGCGATAGCTGAGAAAGTAAACGAAGAAAAAGAAGCTGAAAGATGTTTGGAGCCGTTGATAGTTGGATCATGTAGTAATCGACTACCCGCTTACTATTACAATCAAGAAGCCAGAAGGTGTGAGCCGTTCATGTATTCAGGTTGTGATGGAAACGGCAATCGATTTTTGACTTTACAGCAATGTAAAAAGAGCTGTGATAGGTTTCATAGTGTTAAATGTAAGGTTTTGACGAATAATGTATTCTAAAATATTTTAGATTGCTTTTTAGGTGTTTTTTATATGTAATAATACTTTATATTGCAGTAATTGCTAAGTCATAGCTTCTGAAATATAAAAAATAATGTTTTAGCTGAAGAAACAGCATGTTTTCATCCACTGAACGCTGGCTATGGCCGACATAACAAGACTTGTATTAGAAAGGCTGGGTTCCGGTTTTACTACAATCCTCAATATCGTAAGATTTTAAAATTAAAAAATTTTTAATTTTTAGTTTTGTCAAACTTTTCAAAATTTTAAATTTAAAAAAATTTCAAATAATTTTTGTAACAGAACTTTTTGCGCACTTTGTAATAAAGTTTAAATTTAAAAAAATTTTAGGTAACAAATATAAAAAATGCATTTTTAGAACGTTGTGGTCGCTTTTGGTACTTTGGCTGTGGTGGAAACGAAAATCGCTTCAAAACATACGAAAAATGCGAGAATACATGCTCTGTAAACAGTCTAATATCCGCGGATAATAAGCCAATATCTGCTTGTTTTGAACCGATTGAGGTTGGCAATTGTCCGGATTCAAGCGATGTCTTCAAAATTAAAAAGTTTGCATACGTACCTGATAAGGGAACTTGTGTACAGTTTAACTATGCTAGTTGTAATGGAAATGACAACAATTTTGATACACAAGAGGAATGTGTAGCTCATTGTAATGCTGTTCAACCGGCTAAGTCACGTAGGTTTTTTAAAAGTCGGCGTGGGGTAGGGTAGGGTATGTTATATTACCGTAGGGCATTTTATTGCACGATTTTTTCAATTATGTTGTATTAGCTCAATGCCATTTTTTAATTATGTTGTTTCAGCTCAATGCCAATATCAACCAGACTGGGGACCGTGTAACATGCTACGCCAACAATGGTTCTATAATGTCACTTCAGGCACTTGTGCTCAATTTTTATGGGGTGGTTGCGGTGGAAACACAAATCGATTTGAAACTTTTGAAGAATGTCAGCGTGTTTGTGAAATCCCAGGTGGAGGTAGGGACTATATATTCAATAATATAATTTAAAATGTTGAAGTAAATATCGAAAAAAGTTATGAAAAAGTTGTAAAACGCCATTTTCAGCCCCACCGCCAAAAAAAGATCCTTGTATCGAGAAGCTAGATAGAGGAAAATGGTGTGAGCCAATGTCCAATCGATATTATTATCACCAGAAATCAGGGACTTGTAAAGGTTTTCATTACACTGGATGTGGCAAAAGTAACAACAACTTTATTGAGCTTGAAGACTGTCAACGGATATGTGTTCGAAGAGAAGATGACAACACGCAAATCCAAAGTTACACGCTGGCTGATGGGCAAACTTGTAGGTTTTATAATTTATAGCAACATAAGTTGGAAGATATTAAAATTTTTTTTAATTTTAAGGGGGGGGGGGTCTGTGGAAGTTTTTTTTAAATTTAGCATGGAATCACGCCCAACTTAAAAAAAGTTTGTGGGGATTTCCCCTATTGCTCGATCATTGAAAAAAAGTTTTAAAAATAATGTCACATCTTCAGATCGCGGAGTAAAACCGTCAGAAATGCCCCACCCAGATCAACATATTGTACTGAACGAAGGAGTGAAACGATACATGAAGACAAGTGGAGACTGGATCGACTATGGCCATTGCGTAGGATTTAGGTACAACATATCTGGAGAATACACAAGATTGAATACCTATTTGTGTTTAATGGAGTCTGGAGGGTCTTGTGAAGTTAAGGTAGGTTGTAAACTGATCTTTTACATCTTGACATGATTTGTTGTTATAAAACAACAAAAATAGGTCTTCCATATATAGAAAGTTAATATTTGTTGTAAAAATTTAAAAAAAATTAAAAAGTTGATTTCCAGCGTTATCACAGCACAGAAGGTGAAGAACACTGTCGTGTGTTACGGCCATGGTTAAAAGGTTCTCATTTTTACACCTGGTTCTTTACTGTCGACCGAAAACCATGGAAATGGTCGCCACGCACACGACGACGACAATCAGCTCAAAATACGATAGCGTCGTTGATTGTGTTGCCGGTTAATGATTGTCATAGCGCTTGCTGAAGCTTTAATCTCATGTATAATATATAGATAATGAAAGTTTTTGTGAAAGTTAATAAAATTTTTGGATTTAAGATACTAATATTAATGTAAGCCTAAGCCGACTTAGCTTAAGTCCAGGGTGCGCCAAAAGTTCTGTTACAAAATTTTACCGGTCGTTTTCTCTATGTATATTAAGTTTACGGTTACTAAGCCTAAGCCTACGATAAACATTATATTATCTAAAAAATTTACTACAGAATTTATTATAGTTTATACCTTGTCACAATTTCACAATACGTAGCATGGAGTGAGTACGTGCACTAAGGTTGCTATGTGGAAATACTACAGTTCATAGCAACGTGTACTTATACGAATGTACTCATAACAATTTAACGTTTGTCTTGTTGTGATCTCGTGATATGTGGTAAAAACACCCCAAATTGCTGTATTAATTATTTTTTGGTAAAAGGGCTAACAAAACGACAAACATACTGTATTGTCTACTTTACTAACTTGTTATTGAGATTCCAATTTTGTAAAATTTTTGTGAAATTTAAATTTTTAAAACTTTTACTAAGTACCTACTAATTTTATGTGTACTAAGGTTAAGCCTAATAATTCTAAGCCTAGTCTACGAATTCCCGTTTTAAGCCTACTAAACCTGGGCTTTCTGTGCTCAAGCCTAAGCCTAAGATAAGCCTAAAGTATAAGCCTAAACCTAAATTTTCATTTTTTATAGTTCTTACAATAAAAACCCACGTCATTTATAAAGTATGATGACTGGTATTTAAGCGCTTTTACTAAAAAGAGACAGGTAAAGAGACAGTCCACGCTTTTTCACGTGTTTCTCGTCAGCTCTGTTTAACATTCTGCGTTGAAAATTGGAAAAGAACTAGAAAAATCTTTTTTCGATTAGAATTTTATATTTTTTTTGCTTTATTTTTGTAGTTTAAGGGTTTTTGCTACTAACAGGTATAAAACGAGGTTTTAGTTTATGTACAAAGTGTAACATTGACAGAATTTTAATTTTTTAATAGGTTTTATATGATTTCACGCGATTCTTCTTAATTTTATTTGTTTCATCGATAAAATAGACATTTTTTAATAGTTTGGCGGTGATTTTAAACATTTTAGATTTTGCTAATTTTATATTAACTTTGGTCAAAGTTACACAATTTTTAGTTTAGTAAAAAACAGCAAAAATGCAAACATACTACACAGAAGATGAGCAATATGCAGATTATTCTGAACAATCCAGTCATTCCAAGTACGCATGTGCTGTATGTGGACAGCCTAGCAATGGGTACCACTTTAGAGTTCAGGTATGTGTAGTTCTATAATTAAAAAAAAATTTTTTTTAAAAATTTTAGATAATTTATTATACTATTAATAATATAGATAATATAATATATTATCTTATACATTATATATTGCTTTTAGTCCTGCCGAGCCTGTGCTTCATTCTTCCGCCGATCAGTAGCCGAAAAAAGAGCATATGAGTGTAGAAGGAACAATAACTGTGAGGTTAAAGGTACGTCAATTTTATATTTATATGGTTTTAAAATTTTAGGAAGAATGCGAAATGTTTGCCGGGCTTGTCGATTTCGAACTTGTGTGGAATGTGGAATGCAAAGTGAGTTATGTTAGGGCATTTGGGTTTATAGGCTACTACAAGATGTGGAAAGTTTCCACTGGAAACTAAGATTAGGTTTACTGAAGCTAAGCCTACTAAGGCTAAGCTAACAGACTAAGCTTCTGAGTCCACGTTTACTTAGCATATGACTAATTTTATATTTCAGAAGACGATGTAACAAACGAAGTCAACAGCGATTCTCCACCAAATGGGACTTATCAAACTATCACAGTATGTCTTACTTAACAACATTTTAATATATAATAGTAACAAAGCGCCTTGTACTTTAATAATTGTAAAACTTTACTACTATTACAACCAGTATAAAATTAAAAATACAGTAATCCTTTTTCATCTCACTTATTTTCAGACAATAATAGCCCCACCAGTAGATCCGACCTTGCCATTTGAAGTAAAGTATCCCACATTACATCGACTGATAAATGGCTATGAAATATTTTTAAATGCTCAGAAAACAATCTTAAATGCCAAATATGGAGATGAAATACGAGATGGGAAAATGAAATTAATCACTAAAAAGGAACAGTTGAACATTGAAAGAGCATGCTTACATTTACTGTACAACATGTTTGATGGGTACTATGATCCGATCAAAAGCTTGGTACAACAGCATAAGGTAGGCGTTGTAGAAGGTCTACGATGATGTAGATTGCTGAAGTTCTATTGAAAAGTAGCTTAAATTTTTATTTTTTTTCATATTTTAAAATTTTTTAAAAATTATTTTGTCTTAAAATTCTGTACATTTAAAATCTATGTCAATATAAAAATAAAATAAAATTTAGTTGACACTAATAGAAACATTCTGGCGACAAAGCGGTATCATCCACAGAAGCTACCTCACCTCTCTACAGTACCCCGAATTAGACGATACTCGGATGGTAATGTTTCCTAGCCTTTATATGGACAAAAACAGGATGAACGAGTACTTGGCCACAGATGTACCTCAGAATCACATGGAAGATTATATAAAATTAAGGGCACCAATAATGGACAGAATTTTTCGGGTTGTACGAAAAGTCAAAGAGTTAAAGCTGAGCGTTGGGGATACTGTAACATTGATTTGTACATCGTTGTGGTCGGATGGTACGTGATCTATTTTATATATTATGATGTAAAAAATAATTATTTTAAAATTTTTTAATTTTTTTAATTACTGTTAAGCCTAAAACTAATTAGTCTACTAAGCCTAAGCCTACTAAACTTAAGCCTACTAAGCTTAAACCTACTAAGCTCAAGCCTACTAAGCCTAAACCTACTAAGCCTAAGCCTACTAAGCCTAAGCCTACAAAGCCTAAGCCTACTAAGCCTAAGCCTACTAAGCATAAGCCTACTAAGCATAAGCCTACTAAGCCTAAGCCTACTAAGCATAAGCCTACTAAGCCTAAGCCTACTAAGCTCAAGCCTGTTAAGCCTACCAAACCCGTACCTAAAAATTTTAAACCACTTTTTTTAGCTGAACGTCTAAACCTAACAAATCCAGAAATCAGTGCTCATCAGAAGACCGTAATGAACGAATGGAGCTCCAGTCTGCAAGAAGTTTTTGGCCCTATTGAAACATCTGTCAGAATTGCAAAATTAATGTGTTTGTTGGTCGATATGAACCATATCACAAATGCATTGAAGGAAGAACGTATGTTGACGCGAATCTTCTGTCCGTGTGTTGGCGACGATGAATATCTAGATGGAGAAGATGATGAAGAGGCTCATCATTGCACAAGATATTGAGAATGGGTATATTCTTCCCAATTTAAAATGATTGAAAACGTTTCAAAAAGCCGTAAATTTGAGAATGTTACTTCAATTAAAATCTGTATTTAAATCCAGTATACCAAACCTTTAATTTTTGTATTCATTTGTTATCTTATGTTGTACCCGTTTACATTAGACTAAAAACATTGTCTTTATGGGTCTAACCGGTGTTTTGCCGAACCGGACGGACCTAACAAAAACTTTTGCAAACCAGACCGGGCCCAAAAACCTGCGGACCCGGACTGAAAAAAAAGTTCTGTACTGATTAAAAAAAATTTTTTTGATGACCGCACCGGATTCATACTATGAAGTTTAGACCGGACCCGAAAATCGCTGGGCCGGACTGGTGAAAAACGCTCCAGACCGGTCTGGGCAGAGCACTGGGTCTAACTCGTCAAAAAAATTGTGATTTTGTTGAATATAACATTGACTTCAAAAGAAGTGGGACACTTTTCATTTACTTTTCAAATAAAGAGTGTCCCGCTACTTTTGGTTCAACTTAATATTATAATTTCTGTGATAGCTGTACATTAAAAAAAAAAAAAACTTTTTTCTTTAATTTAAATATTTATTTTTTAGTTTTGTTAAATGTGTTTTAATAAGTGTTTTTTAAAACTAAATGTACAGAATATTTTATACGACCCCCGAAAACCGATTCGATTTGGGTTGTTTTGGCTGAAAAAAGTATTGTTGTCTGAGGATTGCATTATGTTTTGGCTCAGCGCCATGCGATTTCGTGTTTTTTGAGCGCCGCCAAATGCCTCTGCAAATAAACATTGGTGACTTTGGATATTCGGACTATCATCCGCTTTCCCGGTTGTTTATAGCAACGTTTTCAAAACAAAGTAAAACAAAAAAGTGCGAATTACTTTGGGAAGAGTACCGTATACTGATCGTATTTTTAGCTATTATAGATTTTTGATAAGACATAGCACATTTGTATAAGTTTAAAATGTTAAGCATACTAACAATTGTAAGTCTAAGTCTACTATGTCTCAGCATGAAAAAAACCTATTAAGCCTAATTCTGCTAAACCTAGACTTATTAATTTTAAGTTTCTTAAGCCTAAGCCTACTATGTCTAAGCCTACTAATACTAAGCCTACTAAGACTAAGCCTACTAAGCCTAAGCCTAGTAAGCCTAAATCTACTAAGCCTAAGCTTACTAAGCTTATGTCTACCAAGCCTAAGCCTGCTAGCTTATAGTAAACAAAAATTTTATTTTTTTTTGGTTTCAGCTTAATCAATGTCAACGACATAATTTATTGACGTTCAATGCGTCAAAAATTTGTCTAGAATAGTTTTTTCTCACCAGACTTAGTAAAAATGTTGTTTTCATATAAAAACAGGTCAGTCAGCTTTGAGAGCTTTCGATTGTCGCATGTGGTTAGCGATTACATTGCGACTTTGCGGTAAACAAAAAAGATTCAAGTAGTTGAAAAATACTTTTCAAGCGTTTTTTCGAGTCGATTGTGATTGAAAAAGCATAATATAGTTTATTAAACCTAAAATTTTTAAATTCCAAAAGTCGTTGCTTACTTTAGACCACAAAGTTAAAAAGTTGCCAATCAGTGTTTGGCTAATTATGTATTTGCCAATTACCTATTTGCCAATTACCAATCTAAGCTAATTTTTCACTATCAAAATCGTAGTTGACTTTTGTTCGCCTACCGTAATCAATCAACAAACATAAAGAAACATTGATAAAAAAAATTTGTTGTATCGGCAAATTTCCGCCAATTGTGACTTTCCAAATATTTCTCAAACCAGCTTATCGAATGTTTATAATGTTGCGATTTTTGCTGAATAGCTAAATTAAGAACGGCTAAAGAACAAGAACGTATGTGCACATGGTTTTAATGTGATAACAGCTCGCAGTTGTAAAAGTAAAATATGAATAATACTGTAACATGAATTAAGAAGTTACATATTTATAATTAAAGCCATGATAAGGATTAGCATTATATTGTTATTATATTAAGCTTGAACTCACTAAGTGAAAAGCTATTAAGCCTAAGCCTACTAAGCCTCAGCCTATTAAGCCAAAGCCTACTAAGCCTAAGCCTAATAAGCCTAAGCCTACTAAGCCTAAGTTTACTAAGCCTAAGCCCAAGCCTAAGCCTAAGCCTACTAAGCCTAAGCCTACAAAACCTAAGATTATCAATACTGAGGCTACTGACACTAAGGCTAAACCAAAATACATTACTGACATTATGTCTATAACTCTTAGCTTTAGGCAATTAACATACCAGCAAACTTTTACATTTCAAAAATTTAAAAAATCAAAATTAAAAAAATTTTAAAACATCACGTTGGTTTAACTTTCTCACTTAACTCAGATAAATCAAAAAGCAACTTAAAGCAACATTCCACATTCAATAACATTACAATACGAGCAAAGTTTGAAGAAGAGAAATGGTCTGACCGAGAGTGTTAAAACGCCTTGCAGATAACGGCATGAAAAACAATCAAAACATTGGTAATTTGAAAAGTTTCTTTTTGTGTTTCAAGCACGATAAGCACTTGCAACAAAAATACTTTTTGAACTTTGACTGTTCTCGAAGAGAGCGACCGCACAATCAATAGGAAATGGCATCACACTACATCTACACTTGAGTTACATATTACACTTGTTTCTTTTTTTACTTTTAAAAATTTTTTTTGAATATTGTAAAGTTACAAAATGTTTTTTTTTGCCATTTTAATTTATTTTAAAATCACATTTTTTCAAATTTCATATGCCGCCTTATTATTACTACTTAAGCTTGTATTAAGCCTAAACTTAAGCTTAGGTATAAGTGTAAGCTCAAGCTGAAACATAAAGTTGAAAATTGTTTTTTAAGCCTAAAAAACCTAAACTCAATTTTAAACTAGATTTTAAGCTTAAGCTTAAGCCTAAAGTTAAGCCTAACTTTAAGCCTAAGCCTACTTTTAGGCCAAAGCCGAATTCTAAGCCCATGTCACAACTTTTTTTTACAATTTTTGATACAATTTTAAAATTTAAAATTGTTTTTCATTGTCTATATACCGTATTCTTCTTTCGCCTTGTACTTTAGTCGCGGAAACTTTTTTAAAAGTGCAAGCAATGATTCGCCCTTTTAAAAAGTAAAAACGCACTTTGACGAATGTTTCTTTTTGATTGGCTTGAGGGGTTTTTGTGAAAGTGTTTTGTGATTTAGTTGAATTTGTAGGATATAAAATTTTTAAAAAATTATTGAATTATTAGGTGCCGACATAAAGAACCCGCCATGCTTTGCCTGTAATTTTTTGTAAAAATGGCGGGTTTTTTTTGTCGGCACCTAATATTTAAGATGCAGTAAGGAAATAATAGTCTTAAGCTTAATACAATAAAGTTAAGTTGTTCTTTTAAAAATCTTAGAATTAAGAATATTCTATCGTAACCAATTTTCAAAACACTGTTTAAAAGCCACAATAATATTTTTAAAAACTATAATAATGTTTTGCATGGCTTTGCTAAAACAACTTTTAAATTCTTTTTTGACCCGAATAGCGTTACAGGTAAATAACTGGCTAGCGCATTTTAAGACAATAGAGTATTGTTAATGCCTTCCAAGCATTGTTTTTAAGTTGACTAGACAGCTGTGGTATATTGTACCCATTTGCCGTTGTGCGGACAGTGTTTATGACGGGTTAGAGCAGTAAAGAGTACGGTACTTGACAGTATGCACTGCAACATAGAGAAAACGACCGGCAAAGTTTTGTAACAGAACTTTTTGCGCACCCTGTATTAAGACGCAGTACTGTGGTATAGTTTTTGTCGTTGTTGGTATATGTAGGTTTGTATTGCAGAAAATAATCATGGTATAGCAAATTTTATATAGTTTTTTACCCTATACCTTTCGTAAGCCCAAAAATGTTTTTAAAATCGCAAAGATTTGGTAGGATGTACGAATAAAATTCCTTTCATTGATCGTGACGTTCGCTGCAAAATTATTTTGTTTACCGGATGACAGTCAAGTTTCCGCGTTGTTGACAACAGTCGCAAAAGCTTTTAGCGCGTGTGTGTTTTTTTCGACTTTTGGCTACATTAATATATTTTTTATTTATGAAATTTTTATTGTTTTTTATATTTTATTTTAATTTTTGGGCTAAAACTTGGGTGGATGATTTTATTAGGTGCCGACATAAAGAACCCGCCATTTTATGCCTGTAATTTCCTGTAAAAAATGGCGGGTTCTTTATGTCGCATCTAATAGTTTATGAAAAAACTCAAGTTTCTTGCATCTAAACCCCTTTACTTAAACATTTTTGCCTACCGTACCCCCAACAATAACTAATTGTTAATTTTTTAACAAAAACAGTCGACTCATTCTTGATTGACCGGCTGATTCCAGTTCTTCTTCGCGTTTTCCGGAGACCGTTTCGGATAATTCTCGTTTTCCTTTATTTTGCTAGTTTCTTTTTTCTCTTTCTGTAATTAATATCAAAACATTCGATCTTCCGCACCCCCAACAAAAACGCGAGTAACAAAAAATTTACAAAAATGACAACAAAATCGCTTTTTCTTGTCGGTACGGCAAGCGGGTTACGGGTTTGAGGCGAAATTGTGGAGTTTTTTGAATATTAGGTAAATCACACGAAATTTTAAAGAATATTAGGTGCTGACATAAAGAACCCGCCATACTTTTCCTGTAATTTCCTATAAAAAATGGCGGGTTCTTTATGTTAGCACCTAATAAAAGAGAAAAATGGGATTTTAATGATAATTTTAAACAGTTTTAATAAGACATATAATGTATTTTGACAGTGTTATTGTATAACTTATACCAAAATTTTTTTGAATGTTATTTTTTGCTTTTTAATGATTTTTTTGGTCAGCCGAAAACACTGAAAAACAAGGCAAATCCAGAAGGGAGCAGCACAATAACAAACTATCTAATAGATGGTATTTGCTAACATGATAATTGCAATGTTTTTTACTTGATCTGTTTTGCTTACATTAGAAAACGGGCGTTA